ATATGAAGAACTCAGACATTTGTTGATTTAATTTAAAATGAGAAAATATTTAGCTTCTGCATGCACAAATAATGCTATGTGACTCATTCACCCCTAAGGTATTGAACTCATGTTTTTGCTAAGTATTTAGAGATAGAAAATTCTACCATGATTACTTGTACATCTTTTGGCAAATCACTAAATTGATTAGTTTCCTCATGGTAACGGTGGTGATGCTTAACACAATGTTTATAGAAAAGATACAAGTTAGTATGTGTGAGAATACTGACTTTATTTTTATTAAATGTATGCATATATGTATATATGACATGTTTATAATAGAAAATAAAGCAGAGCAACAAAAATAAAAGGTAAATTGGAATTAATAAATTGAAAAATGTGCTTCAAAGGACATTATCAAGTATGTGAAAAAATGGTTTACGGAAAAGGGGAAATGATTTGTAAATCACTCATCTGATAATGGTTTAATACATACAAAGAATTCTTTTTTCAGCACAAGAAAAAAAGACAAAACACCCAGGTATTTAAAGGGCATAGAACGTGAATAGATATTTCTCCAAAGAAGATAAAGCAAATAGCCAATAAGCACATGAAAAAATTATCAGCATCATTAGCTTTTAGGGAAATTAAAATCATAATAAAATACTGCTTCACACTTACTTGGATGTCTAAAGTAAAAGTAGAAAATAACAAGTGTTGGCAAGATGTAGGAATTAGGAACACTTGTACATTCCTGGTAGGAATATAAAATGGTGCTGTCACTGTGGAGACTATTTGGCCATTTTTCAGGAGGCTAGATTAGTTTGTAATCCAGCAATTCATTTCCAGGTATGTGCCCATGAGAAACACAAATGGATCTCCATGCAGAAACTTGAATACAAATGTTTATAGTAGCAATATCCAGAGGTGGAAACAACCCAACTGCTCATCAGTAGAGGAATGGGTAAATAAACTGTGGTTACATGTACACTGAAACAGCTGCTCCAGAAAGGAGTGAGGCACTGCTACCTTAAAAATGCTGCAAAAAGGGTCAGACACAAGAACTGATACAATTCTCCTTTTTATGCGGCATATTCAGTATAGGCAAACCACAGAGAGAAAGCAGACTGTTGCCAGGATTGATTGTGTAATGAATACAGGGTGTCTCGATGGGAAAGTTTTGAAAACAGGGAGGCAGTAGTTACATGACACTGTGAATGCACTCAGGGTCACGTAGTTGTACAATAAAGGTGTTAGATTAGTTTCATCTCAATTAAAAAAAAACTAACAAAGTTTAAAGACATTTTTAGAAAGCAGTAGAATCCTAACATTTATAGATAATTGTTAAAGTTTGTATTTTATTTTTTCTTTTACATATTCACATATACAAAAACATGCCTATATATATTTTCATATTGTGATTTTTATGATTTTAATATTTTGATGATAGTATCTCAAACGAATTGATATCCTTTATAATTTTACCTGTTTTATTCACAAGTTTTAAACCATTGGTGCAATAAAAGGGGCTCATGTTGTTAAAAGGGTTAATATTTTTACAGTGAGATTCATCAGGGGTACTCCAATAGCAATGTCCAGCCAAGGGTATAGATCAGTATAGTATCAGCCATTTCATTGGTAGGTTGTCTGCATTTGCCTTCTCTTTTATTAAAAATATCCAAATGAAAATTAATAAACATTTTGACCTGATTTTCAACCAAGTCAAGTCCAATAATTGCATCACTAAAGAGAGGCATATGTTTCATTGTACACACAACACACACACACACACACATTCCATTGAGTGAACTTGGGCCTTTGGTGAAATATATGAATATTAATTTGATCTCATAGTCCTTACAAACTTTTCCTCCTTTCAAAGTGAGGCAATTCCAAGGGTGAAGAAGTAAAACGATCTTCATGGGGTAATTTCTACCATGTTTTTAAATCCAAATATTGCATTAAAAGACTATAAAAGAGCACTAGTTAATTTTGTTTTCTCAAGATTTGGGTTTCTTTTTCTTTAGTAGTTTTAAGCATTTGATGATTTACCTGTATTTTGCTATAGAGTTATGCTTTCCATAAATGTGTTTATGGTTTTAGGTACTTTTTTTTAACCTACATCATAATAGTAACCTTTTTCTGGTAAAGCACACGTGTGTTGTGTGTTTGTGTGTATGTGCATTTTAATTGAGGTATTCAATTCCACCTTTTGTTTGGTTCTGCTGGCATTTTAATATACATTAAGCATATTATTGTGGTATTTGCAGGATGTCTTTGGAACATTTTGTATGCTCAGAAACAAATACGAAAATCAATACATTCTCATTCTACTGATAAAAATAAATATCATCTGCTCTTAAAATTACTTTGACCAATTAAGCCCCATCCTTTGCTGCCGTTATTGTTTCCTTTGGCAGTTGCTGTCTTCCTGGGTTTTCCATGAGTAAAGAAAATGCTGGCTGCAATCAGTTTTAGTGATTCCTGTGGTCTGATGACACTCTGGGAGCAGGCGCTGCCTGGATCTGTTTGTGAGATTTCAGCACTGAATGCTCAGGGGGAATTATTCTGCAGGGTCGAAAGTGGACTGCAGCAGGGTAGCTGCTCTGTGGCCCCTCCTCAGCGAGGCCCCTTCTGCAAGCATTTTATATGGACACTTGGAACGTTAGCGGATTTCACAGCTGCAATGTTTAGTAGAAATAAACCCAAAGGAGCCATCTGCCCTCCCCACGCTGCTGCCTTTCAGTGCCCTAGCAACTTCCCAGCAGCCAGCTGCCACAGAAACGATTGGAAAAGCAGGACTCAGTGGACTGTAATGATTGTTATTCTCTGGGAAAGTAGGTTCTCTGATTTGGCTGAGAGATAAAGGATATTGGATGCACTTGATTCATCTGAGTGTATCAATAATATCCAACTTCTACCATTAGCTTACTTGTTAGGATTTGATAGGGAAGATGTTTCTGTGCTTTTAGGGATGAACCAGGTGAAAACAAATTCAAAGGTTAAGTTCTTGCCTTGGGAATGGTGAACGGAGAGTGTGACTGTGGGAATGTCATCAGATTTTATCTTGTGTGCTACAAATGATGTTGGATGCTAATCCAAGCCTTGTCAGCATCCTGTGTGTAGGTTGGCCCACTGTATTCCTTAGTCCTTCTCGGGCTGAAGTGGAGCAGGTTCCCTTTCACCCTGAGCTGAGGGTCCTGCACCAGCCACGGGGACACATCAGAGGGGACAAAAGGCCATACAGCTCACCATTTGAGCAGTAGCAAGTTATTTTAGTCCACGTAGTAAACGAATTATGCTTTATACCAACAGACAAACAGATCAAAATTGAGAAAATGTATGGGGTTAGATTACAAAGAGACAATTGGAGTAAGAAGATTGGTTAAAAACAATTTATTATCACATTATTTGCACTGCAGGTTAACTTTTTGGGGTCAGTACATGTTTGTCTTTTTTTAGAGGCATCAGCTGTTAGTCTAGTTTGGAAATCACATTGTTACATATCCCTTATATGTCTATCATCTTACAAACTTTATCCATCTGTTTCGTGCTACTGAAGTAGTGCTTGGAACTGAATACTTACAAAGAAAGGAGATTTATTTGGCTAACAATTTTGGAAGCTAAAAGGTCAAACAGATAGGAGGACCTCTGGCAAGGGCTCGCCTGGCTGCATCAGGATGGTGGCATCATGGTGAGGGTGCAGTGAGGGGGAGCGATCACACTGTGAGACAGGAGTCAGGGAATGCGGAGAAGCCCATCACAACTTCCATCTAGGCTCTGCCTCTGAAAAGCCCTACCATGTCCACACTGCCACACTGAGACCCAAGCCTCTAACACGGGAACCCCTGGAGGACAAACCACATTCAGCCCAGAGCAGCTCATTCCTCCACTTTTTACCATTTCATGGTATTCTCACCAAAATTGACCTATCAGCAATGCTATCCCTCATCAGTGGTTTTGTAAAGAAATTTATTCTTTCTTTAGACTATGTATTTAGAAGAACCTTTTATGCATTATAACCCAATTTATAGATGGCATAGAAAAACAGCCAAGCTGAAGATTGGAATTGGATGACTAAGCATACCTTTATAGATAGAAGGGGAAGTTAAATGCATGATCTAACATCCTGTATTGTATAAAACATAGCATCTTACCAACTCATCTTACTTCAGAGAATTTCTCTTTGTTCAGCTCTGGCCTCTTAGCTGCCAATTATTTTTGAGTGCAGCCTACATTGTCTTAACCACAACTTAAAAATCTGAAAGTCCTTGAGAATAAAAGATTTTATTAGTTTGCGGTAAAGCAACAAAACCAAGCCTTACCTCAAATTAGGTTGTTTATTCTACTTAATCTGAATAGTATTCCTCCACACTCCTCTTCCTCCTTCTCTTTCCTGTTATTCTTTGTTCATATATATATATACACACACACACACATATAACATCTCCTCCTGCCTATTGTCCAAGACACTGTTAGAAGTAATAAACAATATGTAAGCATACACCATTTTATCTCTACAAAATTGAAAAACTTCTGAATTCCAATTCTTGTGCTGTTTCTGATTATCCGGGTCCTTTTCAATGTAATGGATGCTTTTCTACAAAATGTCTTGTGTGCTCTGTGTCTGTTTTTATGCCTCCAATTCTTTCTTTTCTTTTTTCTTTTTCTTTTTTTTTTTTTTTTTTTGACAGAGTGGACAGTGAGAGAGACAGAGAGAAAGGTCTTCCTTTTCCGTTGGTTCACCCCGCAATGGCCGCTATGGCTGGCGCACCGCGCTGATCCGAAGCCAGGAGCCAGGTGCTTCTCCTGGTCTCACATGGGGTGCAGGGCCCAAGCACTTGGGCCATCCTCCACTGCACTCCCGGGCCACAGCAGAGAGCTGGCCTGGAAGAGGGGCAACTGGGACAGAATCCGGCGCCCCGACAGGGACTAGAACCCGGTGTGCCGGTGCTGCAGGCGGAGGATTAGCCCATTGAGAGCTAGGGTGGCGCTGGCTATGCCTCCAATTATTTTAACACTGTTTAATCTGAATTCTTCCTACAATATTACAGTAGAACTGTTGTGCCTACAGTTTCCTCACTGCCAAGTTCTGTTTTCTTTATCTGAGCAGCAGGGTCTTGTATGCAGTCTATCATCAAGGTCCATGTGTGTGTGTGTCTGTCTCTGTTTATCTCCCCTCCCTTATTCTTACATGATAGTTCTTTCTCCTGATGAACAACAACCATTCTTTCTTAGGTTGTACTGCTACTGCATGCTCTGTTATTCCTTGGATCTTAGAATATTTCCCTTTTTATGTGTATTTTCCTTGGGTAAACCTTTGGAAAAGTGAGCAATAATCCATTTCAAGTATGTACCACATTTTGTTTATCCATTCATCCCTTGAAAGGCCCTTGGGTTTTGATGATTGTGAGTAGTGCTGCCATGAACACGGGTGAATAAATATTGATTTGTATGCCTTCTTTCAGTTACTCAGAGTGGAAACCCAGAAGTCACTTCAGTTACTTGACCCGCCATCTGGACCTCTTGAGAGGTTGGGTGTGTGTGGCACGCTGTAACATAGGAACAACAGCCAGCCATGCTGGGATCCTCACCAGACAGGGGCTGCAAAAGAAAGGAGGAGAATGTCATTCTCTAGTTCAAAATTGAATTGGACCAGAGCTAATATCAGAAAACCTACTTATGTTCTGCAAGACATCTACCATGGTATATTGTGTAGTGTAGGCAACAATATGCAAACCACCTAGAGGAAATGGCAGGAAAGATTATAAACTAAACAGGGAAAGTGATAATAAAAATATGATAAACTACTCTAGCCAAAGATCAAGCCTCTACTACTCTAGCCTGCCTGATAATAGGAGTTATTAAAAACTATGAAAATATTTAGCTGATCTTCATATTTATGTTCATACATTTATGCCTTTATTTTCAGAGGCACTACTTTCACATATAAAATAGTGAAGAAAAAAAAGATCTGAAGATTCTTTTAGTGGTTTGGAGTGAAAGTAGTGCCACACATCCTGATTATATTAATTTCCTGTTGCTGTAACATATGACCACAAATTTAGCAACTTAAAACAACACGCATTTACTGTCTCACAATTCTGTAAATTAGAAGTCCTTACGTGTTCAAGTGGGTCTCTGCTTACGTCTCATAAGAGCAAAGTGAAGGTGTCAGCCAGCTGAGTTCTCCCCCAGAGGCCTTCAGGAAATTTGACCTACGAACTTGTGCAGATCTTTCACAGAATTTGGTTCTTTGCAGTTGTGGGTCAGTGTTCCTTGTTGGCTGTGACCACATGTCACTATCAGTTCCTTGAGGCTACTCTCAAATCTTGGTCCATGGCCACCTTCATCTTCCAAGCCAGCAATGCCACATCACATCCTTCTTATACTTTCAATCTTTCTGACTTCCTCTACGTTTGTCAGATGGAGAGAACTCTTCACTTTCAAAGACTCACGGAGGTAGGCCTGGCTTACTTGAATAGTCTCTTTTAAGGTCAACTGATTAGAACCTTTAATTATACCTGCAAAGTCCCTTTTGCCTTGCTACATAAAAAGCACTGGAGTGCTATCACATCATATTTGTATGGAGGGGAATCATATAAGGATGAGGGTTATTGGGATTGTTCTTAGGATACTGCCTGATACCTTGATATTGAGGCAAAGTTTTTCTTCTGAATACCCCATGCAGAAGTGAGGCCATGGACTAGAGAAGAGGAAAGGGCCTTTTCGGATCCCTGGGTGAGAAACATGGTATTGAATTTTGCATATGTACTTTAGTGAAGACACTCTGAGCTTTGGTGTCTTCAAAGTACACCCTGGGGGGTAAGCATTGTTGCATAATGGATTAAGCCACAGCCTGCAACACCATCATCCCATGTGGGCACCAGTTCCAGTTCTGGCTGTCCCACTTCTGATCAAGCTGTCTGCTAATGTGCCTGGGAAAGCAGCAGAACATGGCCCAAATTGTTGGGCCCATGCACCCATTTGGCAGATCCAGATGAAGCTCCCGGCTTCGGCCTCATCCAGTCCCGGCTGTTAAGGCCGTTTGGGAGGTGAACCAGCAGATTGAAGATTTCTTTGTCTTTCCCTTTCTCTCTCTATAACTCTGCCTTTCAACTAAATCAAACAAACCTTTAAAAACAAATGCGCCCTGGCATGCCTGCTGCAACTATGGTCATCCACTATTTGCTGAAGGCAAACCATTGCCATATCCAAAATGTATGTCTCCTCATCACCAGTATATCCTGCCCACCCCTCTAAAAAAAAAAAAAAAAAACACTTTCATGTAACTTCACTCCTCATACAGCACCTTATTAAGGGGACTATGCGTCCAATTTTTCCATTTCCAATAATCTTCCTCTTTCTAGGAAAAATTCCAGATCAATTGAGCAAAATATTGACTTAATTAAATGAATTGGCAGCAAAAGTGATTAAATGACAGACTCAAGTATCTTAAGAATTTGGCCCCAATAAGTAATTTAGTTTTCAATTAAAAGCATGAAGGGTAAAACCAATTTTGTAATCTTTTAAGATTTAAAATAAGTATGCCTGTTATAAAAAATAAAGAGTGAGTGATATTTTGTAATAATACTTAAAGCAGTAAATTTTTTGTATATGATAATTATCAACTTTAATCTTTTCACATCTAAATACCAAAATTCATTTCTATAAAGATCTGCCTCTTAAATTGGTTGTAAATGTATTTACTTTTATAATGAGATTAAAAATTAAAATTTAGTGTTAATAGATTCTGTTTTGTTAGCATGGGATTAAGAACAGAGTGCTTAATATATAAACACCTTATCAAAGAATCTTCCTTTAAAATGTGTTAAAAGTTAAAACGTTGTTTGTAATCCTTACACATGTTAATAACTTTAGATCTCGGGGTTTCATTTTTTTTTCCCTTTCATTCCCCTCACAGCTCCTCCTGTGTTTTTCTGGGGGTCAGCAGTCACAGTTCGATGTGAGGGATGAGTGTGGTCCAGCTGATAAATCCCAGCGTTCTCTGAATGTGCTGGAGGCTGTGGCAGAGCTGGGGTCAAGGTCATGGTGGCCAGGGACTTTTTAAAAAATGTATTTTATGTACCCGTAAGGTATAGGAGGTTGATATGATGCCAATTGTGAGTTTGTTATCTTATTAAAACTGATGTAGTACAAAAGGAGCCAAGTTTTTGGCAATCCATTTTACAGCTGAATTTATTTTATTCAGATGTATTTAAGAATGAAGCTAAGTACCTTTATGCCTCATTCAATATTTTCAGATTTATCTCTTTCCCCACCCTTCCATTACTTCCTACTTAGCTAATTTTGGCACTCCCAGGGCCCGTGTCAGAACTCCCTTCAGTTATACATTTTCTGGAGTCAGATGCAGTAATAGTGAAATGCTTTTGTTAGAAAGCGGTATCAGGTGGATCTCCAAACACTCGCGTGAGCCAGGTAGTGAACATCGTGTGTAACTGAAGATAGATGATAAGTCACATTCCTTGATACGTGGAATCTGGCTACAACTGTCAGTTGTGTTTTTGAAAGCTGATTTTATGATTTTGATTGCCAAACCTGTAAGTGAAGCATTTTCTAACCTATTGTTTTAGAGTCTCTTTATTTTTTTTATTTTATTTAAGTTATATAAATTTCATGTATTTCATATATATAGATTTAGGAATATAATGACACTTAAATGTGTATGTGCTCTTTTTTTTTTTTAAATCTACTTATATATTTGAAAGAGTTATCCAGAGAGTGGGAGATACAGGGAGAAAGGGGAGAGGGAAGGGGCAGAGAGATAGAGAGAGATCTTCTATCCACTTACATTCCCCAGATGGCCATAATGATCAGGGCTGGGCTAGACCAAAGCCAGCAGCTTCTGTAAGTCTCTCCTATGGGTGGCAGGGGGCCAAAAACTTGGGCCGTCCTCTGCTGCTTTTCCCAGGCCATTACCAGGGAGCTGAATCGGAAGTGGAGCAGCTGGGACACAAATTGGTGCCCAAATGGAATGCTGGCATCACAGGTGGTAGATTAAACACAGCCCTGGTCCATGTGTGTGCTCTGAATCACTGCCCAGTACTAAGATAAAATCATTTAGAAAATGCTTGCCTAATGTGGAAAACCCCAATATATTTACAACATGGCTTTATTTCAACAATATAGTGATTTACAAAAGGTTTTAGTGTTCCTTCCTTTGCTTTCTTTTTTTTATGGCTTTGTTATTTTTCCCCCCCAGAAACCTTTTATTTAAGGAATACAAACTTAATGCACTTCATAAGTACAACTTTAGGAACACAGTGATTCTTCCCACTGTACCCCCTCCCACCCACACTCCCACCCTCTTCCTCCTCCCTCTCCTATTCCCATTCCTATTTTTTACTAAGATCTATTTTCAATTAACTTTATATACATATGATTAACTCAATACTAAGTAAAGAGTTCAATAAATAGTATGAAAAAACTCAACAGTCGAGACAAGGGCTGTTCAAAGTCATTGCATCTCAAGTGTCAATTTCCTTAATAATTCTTATATAGATTACCTTTTAGGTGCTCTATTAGTTACTATAGATCAGGGAGAACATATGGTATTTGTCCTTTTGGGACTGGCTTATTTCACTAAGTATGATGTTTTCCAGTTTCATCCATTTTGTTGCAAACGTCAGGATTTCATTTTTTTTAACCACTGCGTAGTATTCCATGGTGTACATATCCTATAATTTCTTTACCCAGTTATCAGTTGATGGACATTTGGGTTAATTCCATATCTTAGCTATTGTGAATTGAAGTGCAATAAACATGGGGGTATAGATTCTTCATTTATATAGAAACTGCAAAAGGGTTTGTGCTGGCCTCTCCAGTCTCCTTCCTCTGGATTCTCTTGGAGATGAGAGAGAAGGGGAATCAGCAAAGTCAGGGATAGAGAGGAGTTGGAGGGGGCAGGCTGTGTGCTATTTTCTTGTTTTATTTTTAGTCCCTTCTTAAGGACTAGTGCCTGTGAGGTTTCTGCAATCCACCCTAGAATCTTTTTTTTTTATTTGACAGGTAGGGTTAGAGAGAAAGGTCTTCCTTGCGTTGGTTCATCCCCCAAATGGCCACTATGGCCGGCGCTGCGCCGATCCGAAGCCAGGAGCCAGGTGCTTCCTCCTGGTCTCCCATGTGGGTGCCGGGGCACAAGTACTTGGGCCATCCTCCACTGCCCTCCCGGGCCACAGCAGAGAGCTGGACTGGAAACGGAGCAACCCGGCGCCCATATGGGATGCCGGTGCTGCAGAGGATTAACCAAGTGAGCCATGGTGCTGGCCCCCACCCTGGAATCTTTACAATTCGTACCCCTCTCTTAGAAAATCTGCTTGGCTTCTACCACTTGTTTCTCACCTAAAGGGCCTGAATAAGGAGGGGACAGAGATGTTCCTATTGTGGTAAAAGCCAGATTTGCAAACAACCAGACAGGATGCCAAGTTCCAGGAAGAGACCAGAGTAGAGACCCAGGTTTAAGCAGCAGCAGCAGGTGAGTGAAGATTGAATTCAAATAAAAGAAGTAGGAGAGCTCAGAGCCAGAATCAAGAACTTTTTTTTTTAACAGCTCGCAAGGGGCTGAGAACCTCTGTTAAGCGCAGAAAGTGGACTGTCGTGGGGCACAGTGCGCACCATGTGCCTGAGCCCCTATGCACTTTCAAAATATCTACTTCATTTCATCCTCAGGAGTAATCCTGCAAGGTAGGAATTAATGTCCCCATCATACAGATGAGGAAACTGAGGCAGGGGAATGTAAAACTAACTTGCCGAAAACCACACAGCAGTCAGAGTAAAACCTAGCGAAGGAGAATTGAACTTGCAGGAAATACTGATTTGCACACAGGGCAGTCTGATGCCAGTCTGCTCTTTATCACCACCCAGTGATGCCTCCTCGCTGAAAATCATAAAGATAGGAGCTAGAGGCAGGGTTGCATGTGGGTTCATAGCGAAGGCTCCCACTGAAAAGAAATGTGATTAAGGGCCAGCATTGTGGTGCAGCAGGTTAACCTGCTGCTTGTGATGCCAGCATCCCATATTGGAGTACTGCTTCAAATCCCTGCTTCTCCCTTGACAGTCCAGCTCCTTGCTAATGTGTAGAAGATGGCACAAGTACCTGGGCCCCTGCCATCCCTGTGAGAAATCGGGGTGGAATCCCTGGGTCCTTGCCTTAGCATAGCCCAGACCTGGCAGTTGCAAACATTTTGGGGGTGAACCTGCTGGTGGAAGAAATCTCTCTCTCTTTTTCTCCCTCCTTCCCTCAAATGAATGAACATAAGCTAATAATATTTAAGAATGTCCCCAAAATGATATTAATTCCACAATTTTGTGGAAATATTTACAGGAATATTTTGTATTAGGGGTGATTTAATGTGATATTAATCAGGGTCTACTCAGAAAATGGTAAAGTCAATTGAACAGAGAAAATTGAAATTAAAGAAGTATTAACTATCACAAAATAGTCAAATATGAGTGATTGGCTAGTAAGAAGAGAACTCTAAACAATATAGGACTCACACAAAGAAAGAACAATGCCTGGCTCTGAGATGGCCTGAGCAAGGCAGTGGTTCCCTGAGGGCTGAGCTCCCGGCCTTGCTGGAGAGGGTGGCCCTGCAGTTTCTGGGTAGCAGGGGAGCTGCCACAGTGTGGTGCAGGTGGAGCTTTCACATGCCCTCTCGGGTCCAAGGGGAAGCTGTTCGCATGGAGATGTCGCCCTGGAAGTACTGTTACCCAGCTGCCCGAAGTGTGCACCACAGGAAGCTGCTGGCTGCACGCTGCTACTGCTGCCATCCTCCCTGCACTGCAGGAGCCTGGGACCAGGACGCTGTCCAAGGCTGCAAGCCAGCACAACAGCACCAAGAAGGAAAAGCCTTTTCTCCCGCTAGGCCTTTCAGCACCCTCTCTCCACAGAGGCTAACACTGCAGCAGCAGGTAAAAGGAAGAGATTTACAGAGCTCTTACCCTTTTTCACACAACAAGCAGAGAAGGTTGAAGTTGGAACTAAGAGGCGATACCTTGGTACCCAGCACACACGAGAATCACTATATCCACTGTCAGAATTTTAACCAAAGTTTTTCAAAAACTGTTGCCTTGAACTTATTATGAAAAAAAAAATGAACTTACTGTTTTGGGTATGTTCACCAGCTGGCCAATGATATCTTTTTAAGAAACTGATTGACTCCAACGTCTCCTTATGCCACATTTGTGCTTCAACCAATTCTTTGAAATAAAATCATGTCCGTTGTTTTCAAATATTCTACAATTAACCATCTTAGAAACCATTGTTCACAAAACCAGGTGTCCAACTTTTTGTTAGAATGGGATTTTTTAGTTTGGGGTGGAATAGCTTATGTGTTACTTTAAATAGTGTGGCACCTTAGTTTTCAGAGGTCTCTTGCCTCCTCACTACCCTTAGATTGTAAGGAAGCTCCGGGGGACTACAGTGGGGCCCTCTTTGACTCCACAGTGTCAACATCTGTCACACTGCCTGGCACCCTGGAGATACGTAAGCAGATTACTTATCCATCCTTGAGCGAAAATGGGTTATAACTACGCGTTTGTAGGTTAACTATTTTCACCACTGGAAGATATAAGGAATAGTTGTGTTTGTGTGAGACATTAGGTATAGGGTAAAACATGAATACATGAGAGAGAAACCAGTGTAATCCCTTATTTGCCAAGAATTCTCAAAGTATTTTAAAAAATATAATTTGGGGCTCCATGGAAAATGTGCAGAAATATCCATGGTGATACCGTACTCACAGGCCACTTTCACAGAGACAGTACATTTTACAGGGAACACGTTTACAAGTTCTGGAATGCAGCCATTTTCAGGAACCAGTCCTAACTGTAATCTTCTGTTGGAGAGACTTACTCCCTTATCGTCATGCTTGCGAGGAGAGATTTTCTTGATGTTGTTGCCAGCTTTGTTTAGTGTAGATGTATCAGTCTTGATGGAAAAGGAAAGCCTGGAAGAATAACATGCTTATAGGTTTTGTATGTTATAGATGTTGATTTGTGAACATAGAACTGTTACAGTGAAAAAATGTTGCTAAGGAACCGGAGACTAAAATGATGCCTACTGTTTTAACATAGTGGCTGGTACTGACTCAGAATGCTTGGTACTCAGTGAAGGTAGCTTAGTTGCTATAAAGGAAGGGCATGAAAGAGAGGATAGAAAATGAGAAAGAACTGAATAATCTTAAATATATCCGCCTAGTCACCTAACTAAAGATATAGTAACCTACTTATTGTAATTAATTTAAGTTGATATTTTCTTAATACTATCAATAAAAATTATCTTTCTCATTAGCTAATAGTACAATGATTTCTCATTGATAAGAAAGAAAGAAGTGTAATCTTTATATATACTTTATCAAGCTCATTTCCCTTAGCATCTTTGCTCAGAGGGAAATAACATATTTAATATAATATGAATGAACCCATATCTGATATATACTCACAACAGAAGTTGTGATTCATTCATATTTATTATTGAGGTTTTACTAAGTGTATGACATGACATTCTATAAAGACTAATGATTTGTGATTTGCTTTCTGATACTTTGACTCCATTTTATAGCTGGTTCCTTTTAAGTTTAAATTGAACTTGCCAGCATCCTTAAATTCTGAAATTGGAGGAATGACAAAGTGTAAACGATTTCCCCTCCTTCTAATAACATAAGAAACAAAAAGATATAATGGCAAACCAACAATAAAAATTACAACAAAATCCAATGGGGACACTTGGGTATGGAAGGTAGTATCCAAAGCATCTTTATGTTCATTTGCCCTGTTCATCTACACTATATATTGCTAATAGAAATATGGTAAGCCTGAGAACTCAAGCAAAACACTGTGGATTCTCTGTTGTATGTGAGCTGGAACACTAGGGGACAGCACTAAAATATTCCATCCTTGTTTGTTATTGATCACTTGCATACTGTATAATCAGTAAGAGATTTTACTGTTAAAGACTATTGAATGTCCTGTTGATTTCAGTGAATTGAAAAAAAGCACAAAGAGGAAGATAAGCTTTTTATGTCCACAATTTCAGTCTTTATGAGAGGTTAATTTGAATAATATAGAAAAAGCTCCCAGACTGGTTTTTGGTTGCAAGAAGATAGTAAGGCATGATAACTTAAAGAATTATGTCTTCTGCTGAGAGCGTTTTGTTCTTTTATTCCGTGGGAGTAAGTATTTTGCTTGAATTTTTTTCCCTAATTTGTTTTCTAGGCACTCTGGAAAGACATGAAACAGGAGAGAGAGCAAGAATTATTCTCAATTGTTGTGATGACTCACGACTTCTAAAGCGTGAGTCTGCACTTTGCATTGCCTCAGAGGCACATAAGCACAAAAGTATAGAACAAAGATCATCGGCCTCCTCCCAGCTTGGGCCAATACCTTGCCCTGGTCTGCAGGTGGAGTCTTCATGTCAGGTAAGTTCAAATCAAGCTGCTGCTTACAAAGAACATGATCAACTGGAGTACAAACTAATATGCTGTCATGAATACATAGCCCTGTCATAATGGCACAAAGCAAGAACACAGGAGCAACTGCCTCTACCGAGTGATCTTGTGTCTATCAGAATAACTTTTTGAGCAGCTGTTATACTTGTTATGGCATTGTTTTTGACAAGTTAGATTTTGGCTTATTGAAATAGTCAAATTTTTATTAACTCCTGAATTGTAGGTAATTTTCAAAGTGTGTGTGGGGGATTGTATTCAGCAGTTTGTATCCATTTTTTTTCCTAGTTGAGAGTACTTGGCCTCCTATACAAATGTGTATTGCAAATCAACCAAAAAGTATCAGAAATACTAATCATTACAAAGACAGTCTGTGGGGTCACTAGCCCTTTGGGATTCAAAACCTCAGGTATTGCATGGTATCAGAGTTTATGTTTATTCTCAAACTTAGTCTACCAGCTTTCAGAAATTTGGACTAGTTTTGTTAGTTTTCCCTTATAAGCCAGATGCAATAATTCCATCTGATTTTTTGAAATGATTCTTTTCCTTCCTTTTGGCTTCATACTTCCAAGTTACCTTAGCATGTTGTTGTGTCTATGCCATTTATGTCACATATCAAATGTATTTTTTCATGTGCATATATGTTTTGTAATCAATGTAGATAAAATTCTTTTTTAATGGCTGCATCAGAGTTGATTGTACTTATACTATTGCTGATATAAATTTATATCCCTGTGGTTCAATATGTGGGTTGCTTTTAAAGTTTCACTTTTATGAATAACACATATATGAATCTAAAGATTTTTTTCCCTCAAGATTATTTAAAAGATGTATTTCCAGAAGCCGGATTTCCAAATCATAGGTTTGCTGATATACATACATACATACATATTGATCACTTGTTATTGATTGTTATTCTGTGGTATTTTGAAGATTGTTAAAATGCCATTCATTAGTAAAGATTTTAAATGAGATATCATTTTAGCTCATATTCCCACATATTGTTAGATTTAAAATAAACTGTATTATCAACAAGCAAATCCAATTGGCTGCTCACGCCAGGCCTCAAAGTGGCAGAGTTGGGAACAAGATGGCTAGTATATAACCTTGAAAAGGTTGAGAGACCTGGTATAGATTTTATCAGTGACTCTACAATTTGTCAACCTTTTCAGACCTGAGTCACACTAAACCAAACACTTAATATACAGATATGTAAACTAGAATAACAGTTCCTTAGTTTATAATGGTAAATGTAACTGGAATCTTATTCATTGCTCAGTTCATTCTCAGTGTAGCAAAGTTGGTGATAGGCATGACATAGATTATAACGTACAGTTCCTTGATGGAGCCAGGGTCATAGCCAGAGGGAGTTCATTTCTTGAGCTCTGAGAGTGCATGAAGTCAACTTTTTCAGCCCATCAGGTCGCCATCTCCTTTGGTCGATGCTGATATCCTTTTAAAAAAATTCTTAAATTTTGAATTTCTCTTTTTAAGACTCCATTTAGATAGCTACTTCTATGTAAACTTTCACCTTCAGATGCTAAAGTCAGTGTAGTATTAGGGGACAGAATCCGTTTTCTTTTCTCATTAACCAGTCATTTTAAAGATACTAAAATGGACACAATCAAATGTTACCATCACAACTGAACATAACCCATAACATTGAATCACACTCACATAAAACAGAGGAGGAGGAAATAAAGCCCCGTGAATGAGCCCGGAAGACTGCCAGTCATTCTCACCTAATGCGGCTCTGTTGCCCTCTGTTCAGAATAGATTGTGCAGCTTAGGGTGGAAATTGAATGCGAGAGCAGTAGATGAGAACTTGAGGATGTCCTCTGTCCTGTGTACCTCAGTGGCCGAGGGCCTCCAGGAACAAATCTCATTCCCAGTCCAGTTTCACTACTCAGTACCAGAAAGTTGACTGAGTGTTACCTCTTCGTTTCTTGGCGAATCACAGGCTACCTGTTAGGTAGTGATAGTGGTATACATAGATTTCATTTTCTTCATATAATGTTAATAGTTTCTTGAATTCAGAAAGAAATGAGATGCCAGGGTCTTGTCCTTCTGGGAGTAGGCTTTCTGTCTATGGCCCTTTATTTAAAGGACTAGAAGTCTAACCTGCATTCCTTAATTAATTCATAATTAGAACTTTGTTTCTTTGTTCCACATTCTATATTTCTATTATTATTGAATTTAGTGTTAACCAGAGCAGTGTTTATTTGTGTCATCCTAAGTTATAGCTTCTCTGTTCTGGACCTTTCATACATTTGTTCTTTTAGTTAGGTTGTTGAGATTATCTTAGTCTTTAATTTATAAATTTGATACCCAAGAAAGTTCAAGAATGCTTCTAGTTCTCCATAGTTATTATTATCCTTGTAAAATTATTTAGGGTTTTCATAAGAAAAAGATCAGTTTTTAAAAAGGACTCAAAGCACACTCTTTTTATTGGTGGGAAAAATAAAGGACAATAAATCTGAAATTTAGAACTGCCTAAGATAAATATATATTTCAGGATTTCTGTATGTGTGTGTATCCTTAGTGTGACACAAGTGATGTATTAACCAGCAGTAGAGTGAACTGTTTAAACAGAAGAATAGCATGTGAGATCTGTGCAGTGAGCTCTTTGTGTTTGGCAATATTTCGACCTTATTAGAATGCCGTATCCACTTTTTCTTCTTGCATTTGAAGACTGCACATAGATTTGCAGAAGGGTTTAAAAGAGAACAAGAAATACAATACAACAATCTGAAAATGGGTTTGATGTGAAATACTAGAGAAGTTGAATTTGTGCAGCCAGACAAAGAAAAATCTTTGGGGTAAGGAGGAGGGTCAGGGTCCTACAGGATTTAAAGGAATACAATATCATATTAGTGATGGGGAACTGCCTTTCTTAGATTCAGCTGAGGATAAAACAAGATAGAACCTGTTTAAATTGCAGTGGGAGGAATTTAGCTTCAAAGTGGGGAATAAACAACCTTATTAAAATCATCTCAACCTGGCAGGAATCTTTGTAGGTTCATAATATTTTAAGAGGAAAAGGACTACTTCAGCTATGGTTGGTAGGTTTTAAATTCTTTGCATTTCTTTTCTGTAAAAACGAAGAAAAGGCTAAACAGAATTATTTTTAACTGCCATAATTAAGATACCTAAGAGTGGCCTCAAAATGCCCATTTTTTTAATACTGAATTTTTGTACAATGGGTCTCCTGACAGCTCTGTATAGTTGCTTATTTTTATCTTCACTGACTAATATAGTAGCCACATGTACCATATGTAGCTATTGAATGCTTGAATTGTATTTTAAACCGCATATTAACATGATTATATTTTAGATATGTAGTGAAAATAAAATACATGTTAAAATTAGCTTCTCCTGATTTTACTTTTTCCACTAGGAAATTTAAAATTACAAATGTGGTTGGCATTTTATTTGTATTGGACAATAGTGAACTAGAACAGGACTAAGTGAATTTCTTTGTGAAGGACCAGATGGTAAATATTTACACTTTGCAGGCCAGATCTGTGCTGTTGTCCCAGTACAACTTCACTGTTGGAGCACAAAAGCAACAACAGAATTTTTCAACACATGTTGTTACGTTCCAACAAAACATCATTTTCGCAAAGGGGCAGCAAGCCAGAGCTGATGCACCAGCTGTAGTTTACCAGTGTAGACTCTGGTTCATCTTCCCTGAACTTAGAGATCATGAGGTACTGCAAGGACTGGCAAAAGAGCACCTCCTCTTCCCCTCCATATTGAATTTTTCATAAAGAAATTCTTCCCGATTTCTACAATACCATGTGAATACAGTTCAAACGATTGTAATCCAAGTCTTTTTTTTCTGTTGGAAATCAGGAAATCATATGTGTTTGGAAAAACCCTGTTAGAAAAGTAAACATAGAAGTTATGGATTCCAGTCTAATCAAATGCAATTTTTAAAAATAGGGTTTTCTTTTAATAATGCACCTATACTTGTATGTGCTTCTTTAATGGTGTAAAATTGATCATAAATAATGAGTGCATTTGCATTTATTTATATTCCAGTTGAGCTTTCTATAAATCTATGTGTATATTCTTTTAACCATTAGCCGACCTCAGGGTGATGCCTATTTGGTGCCATTTGCTGAAAAATCTTATTAGGGCTTTATCCTGCTACCCCTCGTAAAGCACAGATGGTGACCTGGTAAACCACCAATTGAAAATTGGATCCTATTTTTATCTATCACCTTAGCAGAATAAAAAAGTTCTTTTATACTTTATAACACTAAAAAGCACCAAAATGGAACTGGTGTAGTTTGCAAATTGTGAGATTTGAAAATTTTGCTTGCAAACATACACACAAAAATATTAAATAATAAAGTGCAGTGGCAATGTTACACGTTAGAGTAATTTAGTTTTTATTGAGCTACCTTTTTATTATCAAATGGCGTCTCTAAATTGTTTACAAACAATTCATTGTGATGTATAGGGGGAAATCATCCATATAGAATGGTCAGATTTTAAGTTTTGATCTGCTCTCTTTGATGTAGTAAACAACATACAATTATTTTTCTCATGTGGAAGATACTTTGCATCAATTTTATATAATTTAAAGAAAATGCATCTTTATTATTATTCACCATATATGTGCTTGCTTAAAAATATAGTGATCTCCCTCTGCAAACATTATATTAATTTTTAAGTACTTTAATGAATTCCAGTTTTAGAGTTTCATGCCTAAATGATGTCACCCTACCTAGGGGATAAGAACAGTGAAATATACAATAAGGGAGAAATATAAACAGCAATTCGCTTTTTGAGCACGTGTGAAGTGATGTGAAATTTTGCTAGTATATACCATTTCTCATAAGCACTTTATATACAGCTTTAACAACTCTAAGTAAGGTTTTCTTTGATACTTAATACTTTTTAAAATATAAGCACTTCATGGGGAATGTCCCTTTTCTCACTCTGTGACATGAGTTTAAACCTTTTTTTTTTTTTTTTTTTTTTTGATTAAAAAGTGACCTCCGTGGCGAGGGAAGCAAGCCTACGTCACAGCTTTGTTTCAGAACTCGTTGAGGAGGTCTGCGTCACCATGGAAAGTAGGCAGCACACCGTTAAAGGGCTCCAGCTGGCCTCTGCACAGAAGCAGCTCAGATCTCCTCACCGGACTTCAAAGCCCAGCTAGTGCCAGAACGCTGCCTGGCCATGCAAATCAGAGGCACAAAGGGAGAATGCTCCCATTTCATGGTGTGCCGCTGGTGTCCGGCCCACGTCGTGCCGCACGTGCCGGCTGGGAGCGCCGGGCGCAGAAGGGCGCTGCTCTGACTCGTGTGACAAATGCAGTTAACACCAGATCCATATTAATGTTGTCAAGTTCCCTTGATGTATTTAAACAGATTTTAATTATTTGCAGCGTCCAAAGGCCTGAAATATATTGCCTAATAGTTCTTCAAAGAAAGCTTATTTAATGTGTGAATGTAAAACCTCTCATAAAAATGAAACTTTTATATTGGCCTTAGTCATTGACATAGGTTATTCATCAAGTCAGCAATTTGTGTGGCAAAGTGCCATTTGAATAGTGTATTGTTAGGATACTTATGGTCCACTTGACAAGGGCTCTTGCTGTAAATAGTGCAATTTGACTCCAGCTGTTAAAGAGTGGCTTTGACAGCAGCCAGATAGAATGCAGATGCCTTACTGAACTGCCGAAAAATCAATATTGGGTTCTTGTTCAGAGTAACCTGTCCTTTTCCCTTCTGTGGATTTATAAACGACTATCAAGGGTTTGTAAGTGGAAGTTTAAATATTATTTTAAATGTAATTCACTTTGAATTTCAAATTAAGACCTGTGATACATGGTACACATGTGGAGTTTGGGGGTGTTACTTCCAAACCCTGGCTCATGTTTAAACCCACTTACGGTTAAGTTGAATCTGGAGTCTCTGGCCTCAGTAGAAACGAATTCGTGTAAAACAGAGATCCAGAATTGCACATCTCTTGTCTATTGCCAGACCGATTATCTCTTCTTCTTGATTTTTCTTACCAGTTCATCCTGTGTGTGCCTCCCATCTCTGTGTGTATGCCTTTTTGTGTAGCTGGCAGAGTTCTTTGTGGTTGTGCCCATAGCAACACCCACAGAGGGCTGTCAGCCTGTTATGTCCTCAGCGTTGTTTTCCTAAAGCGGTGTCTTGCTGGCTTTGAAGAGTTTTCTAGCAGTTTTCAGCACTCCAAGGTTGCTATGATACCTGACTGGCAGTAATAGATATTGAATCTGTTAATTACAATAAGTACACACAAGGGCTCTTCTCTGAATGGCTGTCTCTACTCTTGCTATTGTTATGTTTAAGATACAGAAAAGGAAGTGAAATTATATACACAAGGTGAGAGAAAGAAAGTTTCAAAGGAAGTCTTACCAGGAAAATACCCAGGTATAAGAACCTTTTAGCTGGTTATTGATTACCCAGGATTAGAGATACATTTTTTTTGAAATTATCTCTAGTTTTGACTGGATTTTATTTTGAATTTTTACGGTTGCTTACCCGAGACGACATAAATCTTCATCTGAGGTGGGCTGAGCAGGATTTGCAAAAAAAGCAGTCATTTTTCACTGAGAAATGCCAACATCAAGTGTACCTTATCCAACTTTTTTTTTTTTTTTTCGGTGAAGGCTGTTAAAATAGCTACCTTCTATTCCTAACCAACTCTGCATTTATTGAATTTCTGGCCGTAGCAGCAACTGAAAATTCATAAAGACAATAACATAATTGCGAGTGGAGACTTTTAAGGCTGATTCAAGATCATTGTTACTGTTTTTATAATTGCTGATCAGCAATTGTGATTTCTACCAGAGAAAGGGTTTTAGCTGGTTTCAAAAACTGTTATCTCCTCTCTTAATTATAAGATAAGAATTTTTGCACTGAATACCTGTCTGCATCATTTCTTTCATTTCTTTACTGTCAGATGTAGCTGAGATTTCCCTCAGTTCCCTGCCACTGCAATAATCTGTCAGAGACATGGAGACCTAAGATCATAACTTTCTTCTTGAATGAAATCTGGGCACAAGCATCAGTGAACTTGTATGGAGGGTGGTTCCAGTATAGAAATGTAGAAAAACTTAAGTATTTCAGGCATTTTAATTTTGAACTTAGCTTAATGTAGGAAAAGTTTAGCAAAATTTATTAAAGCATATCTTTAAATTTTCCTGCATTTTCATTAATAATTTTATAAATATTGTCAGACTTAGGAATCTGTAATCATTTCCATATCATATTACCCACTCATAACCATTGAGGGACTCTTTGCTTCCTCATTTCTCCTTTTCCTTTTCTTCCTTCTCTGTTGTAAATTGTTTTTCCTTTTTAAAAAGATCTTGGATTTTCAAAGTTTACTGTGATGCCTGCATCTCGTAAGATGCAAGAGATGGACCTGCTCACCCTAGGGATATTCCATCACTGAACAACTTGCTGGTCTGATTAACAAGTGGTGGTAAGTGGTTCCTCTGGAGAGAGACTTGGTGCTTTCTTG